CCGTCCACATATCAGGATATATGATTCAGAGTAAAATGTTGAAAGTTAAAGGGATTCAATTTTTTATCACCCACAAATACACGATTCTTGACAAATCCAAAAATGATGCGTTGTGGCAGCTGTTATAAAGTTATCTATGGAATGACCACGAACACCAGATGGTATTGAGACACTTTTGACTTCAACTCTTGTAACAGGGTATTTGGCTGTTGTTTTCGATAAGGCCCTTTGGTGGGATAATAATAATCNTTCAATTTTTTATCACCCACGAATGCACGATTCTTGACAAATCCAAAAATGATGCGTTTTGGCAGCTGTCCTGTTATAAAGTTATCTATGGAATGACCACGAACACCAGATGGTATTGAGACACTTTTGACTTCAACTCTTGTAACAGGGTATTTGGCTGTTGTTTTCGATAAGGCCCTTTGGTGGGATAATAATAATCCAGGACTCACCTTCATTCTCCGGATGATCAACGAAGCTTCTGTTATTTTAATGGTGAATGGGCTATTTGTGCTATTCATTAGATAAAAATTGTCTCTTGAAGGAAACAATCGGATATGAATATTTACACCATTTAACAATGCTCGATCCTGATTGAACATATCACAATGTAAATGACCCGTGAGATCGATTGTTTTCCCATCGCTTAAATAAGCCCTAAGTACCCTTAAACCCTCGTTACCTTTACCGACGTCATCCATCTTACAAGCTAACCACAACACAATCATCTAACCACAACACACTACTCAGGTGCGAGTTCTTCGCATCGGCGCCATAATTTAGAAGGATTTCTATATATGCGCGGTAAGCATATGCATTATTGGTAGGCGTCACGGCTTTCTGATTGAAGGAAATATTCACTTGATCGAATAACGAGTGTAATAAGTTATTGATGGGGCCGATAGTAGAGGGTTCTTCTCTGTGACTAATGTTTGTATCGTAACACGTAAAAATAACCGCGTATGAGCCAAGTCAATGTACTCATCACCTTGTCCTGGTATATCGAACTCGATGGGTGAGTTATCCACAAGTGATGCTATTGGCTTGTAGTGTACATCGTATGAGGACTCGATGGCTGTCTGCGTTGGAGGTAAAGAAAATAAGTCCAGTTCACTTTTCACACCCTCAAATGAATGAGTATGCAAGAACGCCATGTTTTAAGCGAAAATATCTACCACTGTTCGTAATTTGGGTGATTTCTTCTTCTTCCGACCTCTAATTTTTATAGACTTCTTCGTATTTTTCCTCTTGCATTTTTTCGACACTCGCGGTTTCTTCCNACCGTGTATGAGCTAAGTCAATGTACTCATCACCTTGTCCTGGTATATCGAACTCGATGGGTGAGTTATCCACAAGTGATGCTATTGGCTTGTAGTGTACATCGTATGAGGACTCGATGGCTGTCTGCGTTGGAGGTAAAGAAAATAAGTCCAGTTCACTTTTCACACCCTCACATGAATGAGTATGCAAGAACGCCATGTTTCAAGCGAAAATATCTGCCACTGTTCGTAATTTGGGTGATTTCTTCTTCTTACGACCTCTAATTTTTATAGACTTCTTCGTATTTTTCCTCTTGCATTTTTTCGACACTCGCGGTTTCTTCCTCTTCTTGGCTCCTCCAGATGTTAACTTGCGGCGTTTAGACTGTCGCGGAGTACGGTTGACCGTAGAATGAAGATATGATAACATATTCCCACTGTTATATCCAGAACCAGTCATCAAAGTATCAAGTTTCTCCTCTGCCCGCCTCTTCAAATTGACGCCTGATTCCCGTGCACGACTTCGTAGAGAGTCTTTCAGAGGTAGATCA